GGTGATCTTGTATTCCGACGCCGCTGCCTTCATGGTATACAGTGGCTCAAAAAACCGTCCGTATGTTGGCATTTTTCACTATCTATGATATTGTGTGAGAATGAACAAATTCCTCAAGGACATACTTATACCACATTGTAGTATGGCTTCAGGGCTTTTATTTGAGCCCTACACCGTGGGAATCGGCGGAGATATGGTGGAGATATAAGGCTTATAAAATGATGACTCATGTGGACAGTTTTTTGAGTGTATATTAAAACTATATAAATCATTATTTATGACACCATAAAAATCATGCCACTATTATATAAATTATAAAGTGGTGTCATTATGTTATTTTATGACTATATCTAACTATATAAACCAGAATATCTCATGTATCATAGTCATAATCACCATGAAAGCCATCTCCTCTGCTCAAAGAGATAATATCCTCTCTCTGTCTTATGCTGGCCTCTCTGCTCGCCAAATTTCCTCTAGAACTGGAATATGCAAGTCCACTGTGGCCAAGTTCATCAAAGGAAAGCCACCCAGACAAGGAAAACTCTTGTGGAGGACGTCCATCCAAGCTTACCTCTACTGACAAAAGGGCTATTATCCAACATATCACTACAGGAAAGGCTGATAATGCTGTCCAAGCCACCCATTATATCAATTCCACCATCACTACCCCCTGTCTCTTCACAAACTGTGAGGAATGTTCTCAAGGCAGCTCATCTCAAGGGCAAGTAACAAAGAAGAAAAAGCCTCTTCTCTCCATCAAACATAGGCAGAGAAGGACTAGCCTTTGCCTTAGCTCATCAACACTGGGACTGTAGAGGACTGGAAGCATGTTATATGGTCAGATGAGACCAAAATCAATAGGATTGGGTCAGATGGGGAAGGTGTATGTATGGAAAAAAGAAGGGAGATGGCCTAACAGGACAGAGAGGTAATGGGACTGTCAAGTTTGGAGGAGGTTCTTTAATGGTATGGGGCTGTATGGGATGGATGGTGTGGGAAATGCTTGCTGAGGTTGAGGGAAGATGAATGCTGAGCAGTATGTGGACATTTTAAATGACCACTTGCTGCCTAGATTGGCAGAATCAGGGATTGATGAAGAAGATATCATTTTCCAACAGGATAATGATCCCAAGCACACATCCAGAAGAGCTAGGGAATGGTTTGAAGAACATAACATCAATGTTCTTGACTGGCCAGCACAGTCTCCTGATGTCAATGTCATTGAACATCTCTGGGAACACTCAAGAAAAGCTTCAAGCCTATGAAACCCCCCTAAAGGAGTATGGGAGCTTTGGGAGAGAGTAGCAGGTGGAATGGGGAAGATCACAGCTGAGGATTGCCAGAAATTAATTGAGAGTATGCCTAGAAGGATAGAGGCAGTAATTAAAGCCAAGGGAGGTCATACAAAATACTAGAATACCTGGTATTACTGTAAAATACTTGAGTCAAAAACTGTCCGCATGAGTCACCATTTTGTGAGCCTTGTATCTCCACCATATCTCCACGATTCCCACGGTGTAGGGCTCAAATGAAAGCCCTGAAGCCATACTACATGTGGTATAAGCATGTTTTTGAGGCATTTGTTTGTTCTCACACAATATTATAGATAGTGAAAAATGCCAAAACATACGGACGGTTTTTTTGAGCCACTGTACATATGACATATTGTTGGTTAGCATCTCGACTTGCCCACGGACACCGTCGACCTCCGACCCCAACATTCTTCCCAAGGTGAGATTTTTTTTGCACCGCTATCTTTGAGCGTGGTGCTCGGTTGGCCGTGAGGAGGAAGTTGGCGACGAAAGCCCTGATGATGTAGAGCGTCGTGCGTGCCGTTGTCCTCATGGAAGACGATGCAATGGATGATGGCAGTTTTGGTGAGCGGATGGGTCCACGGCCCATTGCACGATCGGCGTGGTTTTTGAATGTACCGTGAGATGAGCAATTATGTGTGTGTGTAGGGGGCAGTGAGGGGGAGGAGAGTGGGCGTTTGTTAGAGAGGGACGGCTGGATCGTAAGTCCTTCTTCATGCTCTACTTCCGCCTGATCCTCCTGCATGGTGTCCAGCTGCCTCCTCAAATCCATCATAATTGGGCTCCTCAACCCATGGTGAAGTCGTCGTTAATGACAGGTTCCGTGGTATCATAGGGTAGGTTAGTTTTGACGCTGCATGAAGGATTGGCGGCACTGTCAACACGCTCATCTTCAACATCACAAGTGTTGGGAGCATTGTCATGACGGCCATCGAATCTTCAATGTGACCGTCAGGATCAGGAGGGGGGGGCCCTTTTTCTTTTCCTTTGCTTGTTGGTTGGGTGAGGGCCTTAAGGTCCCTGCACGGTCTGTACCAGGAGCGGACGAGAAGGTTTTGGCAGCATACGCAGGGTATCCCTCCAGATTTCGTCAAGATCCTCATACCACGGGAAGTCATTTAAAACTTGCGCTACAACTAATTTAGTTTCGCCCAATTGTTATTTAAAAAACATACCTAGCAGATTGACTGCAGCGCCAGGATCCTCTGGATTGATTCCAGCCCCTGTCTGCTTGAAGCGCGCACAATTAGTCTTATATTTCCCCTTGAGACTAAATGTAGTGTTCAGTGTATATGTACAAAGGGGGGAGGAAGTATATGAAAAACATACTAAGTGAGACGGTTGCCCACGGCCTGTGTGAACTTTGCCTGATCCTCAGCATACACGGACTTATACATCTCATCCTTCTGGAATATATGTTTGGCGATTACTGCGTAGATCTTGCCCTTGTCACTCCCAGAAGGAGGGCCGTCATCATTAGGCTGAGATTTCTTTCCTTCATAAAAAAGTACTCGACGGTTGGCAGGATGATTGCGTAGGTATGTTACAAGTGTAGAAGTCCGATTGCAGTTTGGCGTTTCCCAGCGGATTTTGCTGATACCAGGAGTATCACCATGAGATGCGGCAGTGCTGGATGAGGGTAGCAGCCGTCCCACGTCCCCTTGTACCATGATTAGCCGCGCCCCTTCCCCTAGTACCCGCGTGCAGGCTGCATTTGGATAGCTATCGGCGAATTGGTGAGCTTTTGCACTTGGATCTTGAGTCGCTCTGAACGTCGTACTCGAGGGCGTATAGCAGGCATGGTGTACGCATGGACCAACTTCGAATTCAGACTCCGCTGGAAGTCTGCCGACGTTCCGTAGAGTGCTGAAAGAATTTGACAGCGTTTCAGAACCTTAATATTTTTACTTTGAATACCATTATTGTTGTCTTGAACTGCAGCACTGAGTCGCTGCTGACGACTAATTTGTAGTGCGTTCCAGCTCCCGAGTCCTCCAGATTTCAGACTTTGGCTTTAAAAGAAGATCATGTACTGGCTGCATGTTCTCTTTTGTTTTTCTACCTTCCAATTGAGTACGTCACAGAGCACTGGCCGAGGAGAACAAATCCGGATTCTGGAGAGACTCTTAGAAGTAGTGGTCACATCATATCAATGCTTCCGCATCCTCAGCCTGGCGCTTGTTTCATCCTGATTCGACTACCATTTATCAATCAAATCGTATATGCCAACTGATCTGTGGCTCTCGGCGCAACATGAAGTTGATAAGTTGATCTTGATAGTGATCATGGACTCGTCCTACTCTGTGCAGGAGGACACAGAGGATTATAATAAACTCATTGAGCGCCATCCTGCAACTGAGAGTGATGGGGTTGTTCACATTTGTGGCAGCATCATCAGCTTTGTAGACCATCTGGATGACAAATTCATGAAGAGTCTCCAAAACATCGATACCCATGGGACGGAGTATATCGACCGTCTTCAGGACGAGAAAGTACTTTATTGTACTATTAGCTGTTTGCAAGTTTTCTATGAACAGACGAGCCAGCTGGAACCCCTTGCGCAAGTGATCATGCAACAGTTGGAGCATATCTATTAGGTTGGTTGAAGTCAGTCCACTGCAGTACTTTTTTGATAATGTTTGTAGTCTGATGCTGTCATATCTACTCTTGGGTCTTCATTGGCTTCGTCGGAGATAATTCTCAGCTTTGCTCTGGCATCTTCTGCTACTGCTTTGTTCCTCATTCACTCCCTTTGTGTTCATCTTTACAAGCCAACAACTCCCTTCTGCACACTCGCACCATGCCCAGTCACATCAACCATCACACCTTGTACATTGGATTCTATACGGTATAAGACATGTTACTTATATTGCATCTGCAAGAGTCAATTCATTCTGCGGATGTTGCAATGCAGATCTTGTATAATTGGACCATTATACAGCTCAGGCTTTGTGCTTTCAGATGTAGGTTGATAAAAGAGGCTCAAGTGACGCTGCAAGACATCTTCACAACACAGCACGTGAAGGAGTTGCCACTCATGGTGTCTGCCAAACAGCGCTTTAATGTAGAGGAAGGGGAGACAGGACACAAGGAAGCCTGTGCAGTGGTCCCCATGGACATGGCTCGTAATTTGCCCAGGGTCTCTGTAATCAGACGACAAGAGTACGATGAACTTCTTGTTGTGTCAATATTTATGTCTTTGGAATGTATATATGTTTGTTAGCTTCCTCACAATGTTGGGAGTCGAGCCCCTTCAGTGACAAATCCCGTATTATACAGGTCACCCGACCCTAACGACTTTTGGAACATCGGCGATGACTTTGGTTCACTCGACAATGATTTTGGAGTGGCTGGGGAGTCTTTGGAGGAGAAGTATGAGGGTGCCGGGCTTGTTATTCGGAAAATGGGTCAACCTTTTTGGATGTATTTGATGCCGATGAATTTGTGGAGTACAGGAAGGGCAATCTCTTCTACCCTTTTGCGTCCAAGGAGGAATGGAAGTTGCTGACTATCTCCTTCGCTCATCCCTGGATATGGCAGCAATTGATGAATTCTTGAAGCTTCACATGGTATGGATTTGTACTCTGACAGTGATTATTATAATATAACTTATCTTTCAGATCCAAAATTTACAACTATCATTCAGCAACGCTAGTGAATTGTGTAGTCGTGCCGAGATGCTCCCCAGCGGACCAAGCTGGAAATGCCAGACCATTCCCTCACTTCATCCTACAAAACTTCCTATCCGCTTATTCTGGCGAGATCCTATTGAATGCCTGGAAAGCCTTTTCAGCAATCCTCTGTTTCATGATAAGCTCAATTTCATCCCTCGTCACGTGTACAAAACGGCAGCGCGGCTTCTGAGGGTATATTCTGAATGGTTGACAGGTAATTCTGCATGGGACGTGCAGGTATGTGCAGGTTCAGTCTACTCATTTTGCACTGTCTTGAGCCCCTTCAGTGACAAATCCCGTATTATACAGGTCACCCGACCTACATAATATCCCGTGTAATACGGGCCAGCGGATTATGGGCCGATGTTATGTATATACCCGATGTTGACGGGTGGGCTGGGAGGAATATTATTTCCGATGGAGACGGGTGGGCCCATCTATGCTGATGTTATATATATCATCGATGATAGCGGATGGGCCGGGAGAAATATTATTATGGAGATGGGTGGGCCCATGTGGGTAATATGTAGAGTAGGATTGACATATATTATAGACCTGAGGAGAGATGTATAGCAAATAGTATTATATAGACGGGTGGGCCGACGTATCAGTATTATTTTGTAGACGGATGGGCCGAGGGAGCGGTGAAATATTTATTAGATAGACGGGTGGGCCAACGTAGGGAAATATTAGATAGATGGGTGAGCCAAGGGTGGGGTGAATTATTTATTACATAGACAGGTGGGCTGATGTGGGGTAATATTAGATAGACGGGTGGGCCGAGGGTGAAGTGAATTATTTATTACATAGACAGGTGGGCCAACGTGGGGTAATATTAGATAGACGGGTGGGCTGAGGGTGAGGTGAATTATTTATTACATAGACGGGTGGGCTGACGTGGGGTCATATTAGATAGACGGGTGGGCTAAAGTGCAGAATTTTACATAGACGGGTGGGCCGACATCGGGTAATATCAAGTACCAAGTACTAAAACCCAAAACCCAAAACCCAAAACCTGAAACCTGAAACCTGAAACCTGAAACCCGAGCCCTGAACACCCAGACTCGGGACTCAAGAGACTCAAAACTCAAAATTCAAAACTCAACTGGAAACTCATACATTGTTACGAGTTAAGAAAATTCAAATTTAAGATGATATACATTTTTGTCATCTGGAAATACCGAGTACCGAGTACCGAGACCTGATACCCAAGACCCGAGATTCGGCACTCGGTAGTCAGTGAAATGAGTACAGAAATACATAAGATACTACATATTAGTTTCAAATTTTGACTTGTGAATCACCAGTCTCAAGTCTCGAGACTCGAATCACCGAGTACTGACTACCAAGTACCAAGTACCGAGTGCTGAGTGCCAAGTGCCAAGTGCCTTCCGAGTGCCGAGTGTCCTGATGCTTTCGGGCATTACCACCCAGATAGCCCTTGCTCTCAGGGGTCCATCAGAATTTAGATTATCTCAAACAGATGTGATTTGAGTGAGATATGAGCAAAATACTATATATCAGGTGAATTTCAGCATTGGAAGTTCAATGCTTTCGATGATTTTGATGTCGGGCCTCAATGCTTTCAGGCATTGATATGCAGATAGCCTTCACTCTCCGGGGTCCTTCAGAATTCGGATCGTATTTCAGCATCAGGAGTTTGATGCTTTCAATGATTTCAATGTGAGGCCTAGATGACTGTGTTCATTGACATGTGGATAGCCCTCAATGTCAGGAGTGTCGCAGAATTCATATGGCCTCACATGGACATATGAGGTAATGTAGGACATTCTCAACACATCAGGAGACACATAAAAACACATCATAAGGCACTACATCATGTCTTCAATAGTTATACCTATGTGTAGTATGATAGTGTGATCTTTAATATGCTGTTCAGGCTGACACTCATCAAGTATCACAGGTCTATTGTACAGACTTAGAATAAAATACAATAGTCTTAACTTGATAGTCATTACACAATAGTCTTAACTTGATAGTCATTACACGATAGTCTTCACTTGATAGTCTAATATGATTGTTGATTACTACATAATACATAAGCTGTGAGGGTTAGGATTATTATGGAAGATATGACAGTCATGGTTATTAAGAAAGCTTATATTATGCCTAGCAAGTCAAGACTATTGAGTTAAGACAATCATATCCTTAGTCTAGTAAGCACTGTCAAAGCTTGTGACCTTCTGGTAACCGTGTGGCAAAATCATATTTTGCTGATGTATATATCTTGTGATTGTAACTTTCTTGCACCAGTGCACAGTGATTGCCTTGAATTTCGATTTTTTTTTGTATTTAGAGATACATACCACTGACAGATACTGGTTCAGGGACTGGAACAGTACATTGGAAGCCAATCTATCATATTATACATAGGTGTGATCATAGCAAACCTGATGCAGTCCCTGATGATGTGTTTTTATGTTTCTCCTGATGTTTTAGAATTTTTCCCACACAAGGCTGACAACAAAGACATTGAACCTGCGAAGCTCAGACACACCCAATAAATTGTATTTTGCTCATATCTCCCTCAAATCATGTCTGTTTGAGGCAAAATATGATCCCCAACATCCCTTCAATAGTATATGCAATATATAAGGATACTAGGACAACAGGATTTATTCCTGTTGTGCTATGTGCTTACCCTTGGTGCAAGGCCTGACATCAAAAATCACCTGATATATAATATTTTGCTCATATCTCACTCAAGTCTTATCCATGTGAGACGATCTGAATTGTGACAGGCCCCTGAGATCAAGTTATATCTGCTTGTGAATGCCTGAATGCATTGAGGCTAGACATTGCAAACATGGAAAGCATTGACCTTACAATGCTGAAATACACACAGTATATGGGATTTTGCTCATATCTCACTCAACTCTTATCCATTTGGGATGGGCTAAATTCTGCCAGACCCGTGAGATCTAGGGCTATCTGCATGTCAATGCCTGAAGGCATCGAGGCTTGATATCAATAACATCAAAAGCATCAAACTTCTGATGGTGAAATTCACTTGGTATATAGTATTTTGCTCATATCTCACTCAAATCACATCCGTTTAAGATGATCTAAATTCTGACGGGCCCCTGAGAGCGTGGGCTATCTGGGTGTTAATACCCGAAAGCATCGGGGCACTCAGCACTCGGAACTCGGCACTTGGCACTTGGAAATCGGAACTCAAAACTCGGCACTCAGCACTCGGTAGTCAGTATATACATAGTATGGTGCAAATATCTCACTCAAATTATATCCGTTTGAGACAACGTGAATTCTGCCACACCCCTGAGATCGAGGGCTATCTACATGTCAATGCCTGAAAGCATCGAGACCCGACATCAAAAACATCGAAAGCATCGAACTTCTGATGCCAACATTCACCCGGTATATAGTATTCTGTTCATATCTCACTCAAATCACATCCGTTTGAGATGATCTAAATTCTGACGGGTCCCTGAGAGCGAGGGCTATCTGGGTGTTAATACTCGAAAGCATCGGTGAGCTCGGCACTCGGAACTCGGCACTCGGCACTTGGAACTTGGAACTTGGAACTTGGAACTCGGCACTTGGCACTTGGTAGTCAGTATATAGTATTTTGCAAATATCTCACTCAAATTATATCCATTTGAGACAATGTGAATTCTGCCACACCCCTGAGATCCAGGGCTATCTACATGTTAATGCCCAAAAGCATCGAGACCCGACATCAGAAACATCGAAAGCATCAAATTTCCAATGCTGAAATTCACCCGGTATATAGTATTTTGTTCATATCTCACTCAAATCACATCCATTTTAGATGATCTAAATTCTGACAGGCCCCTGAGAGCGAGGGCTATCTGGGTGTTAATGCCCGAAAGCATCAGGGCACTCGGCACTCGGCACTCGGCACTCGGCACTCGGCACTTGGAACTTGGTTCTCGGCACTTGGCACTTGGTACTCAGCACTTGGTAGTCAGTGTGTGGTATTTTGCATATATCTCACTCAAATTATATCTGTTTCAGACAATCTAAATTTGCCACACCCCTGAGATCGAGGGCTATCTACATGTTAATGCCCGAAACCATCGAGACCCGACATCAAAAACATCGAAAGCATCAAACTTCCAATGCTGAAATTCACCCGATATGTAGTATTTTGCTCATATCTCACTCAAATCACATCTGTTTGAGATGATCTAAATTCTGACGGGCCTCTGAGAGCAAGGGCTATCTGGGCGTTGATACCCGAAAGCATCGGGGCACTCGGCACTTGGAACTCGGAACTCAGCACTCGGCACTCAGCACTTGGGACACATTAAATCACATCTGTTTGAGATGATCTAAATTCTGATGGGCCCCTGAGAGCATGGGCTATCTGGGTGTTAATGCCTGAAAGCATCGGGGCACTCTGCACTTGGCACTTGGCACTTGGTACTCAGCACTCAGTAGTCAATATATTGTATTTTGCATATATCTCACTCAAATTATATCCATTTGAGACAATCTGAATTCTCCCACACCCCTGAGATCGAGGGCTATCTGCATGTCAATGCCTGAAAGCATTGAACTTCTGATGCCAAAATTCACCCGGTATATAGTATTTTGCACATATCTCACTCAAATCACATCCGTTTGAGATGATCTACATTCTGATGGGCCCCTGAGAGCGAGGGCTATCTGGGTGTTAATACCCGAAAGCATCGGGGCACTTGGCACTCGGAACTCGGAACTTGGAACTCGACACTTAGTGCTCAGCACTCGGTAGTCAGTATATTTTATTTTGCACCTTTCCTGAGTACATGCCCTTAATTTCAGAATGAAGTCAAGATGAAATCCAATGAAGTCCGAAGGACTTCCGGAGGCTGGCTACTCTGGTGGAGTGCTGGAGGACTTCTGGATGAGCACAGGAACCTTCCAGAGGAGTATAGGAACTTCTAGAGAAGTACAGGAAACTCTGGAGGAGTTTCACCTGCTGCATAGGGTCCAAAGATAAGACTTCTGAAGGTAAGCTTCCTAGATGGAAGCACATGGAGGAGAGACTGCAAGGGACAGAGTCCAAAGCAGGATCAGATAGGAGGAGTGGTCCAGAGGACAGGACGTCTGAAGGTTGCGCCATCTGAATGTTCAGATGTCCAAAGGTTAAGATGTCCAAAGGTTATGATGTCTGAAGGTCATGATGTCCAAAGGTTACAATGTCTGAAGGTTTTGATATCCGAAGGGTAAGATGTCCAGAGATCCAAAGGTCCGGAGGTCAGCAGGAGTGGACAGGATTATAGGATAGGAGAATAAAGGCTACCATGGACAAGGTCTGGAGTAGAAGCAAACAGAGGTAGGCTACACTTAGGTGGAGTCGGAGATAACAGGAAGTAGACATAAGTCTTGGAAAGACAGGAAGTGCCAGAAAGGCAAAGGTCCAGCTTAAGGAATCAATCCTTAAGCTTGGATAGAGATGGAAGGACAAATCCAAAGGTTTGGAAGTCCAGCCTAAGGAATCCTTCAGGTTGGACTCGGATCTCGGTACACTTCACTTGATTTTCGATATCCGGGACTCCATAGTCGGAACTTGAGTCTTAAATCTCGGGTGTCGGGTGTCGGTTGTCGGTTGTCGGTTGTCGGGTGTCGGGTGTTGGGTGTCGGGTGTCGGTTGTTGGTTGTCGGGTGTCGGGTGTCGGGTGTCGGGTGTCGGGTGTCGGGTGTCGGGTGTCGGGTGTCGGGTGTCGGGTGTCGGGTGTCGGGTGTCGGGTGTCGGGTGTCGGGTGTCGGGTGTCGGGTGTCGGGTGTCGGGTGTCGGGTGTCGGGTCTCGGTGGTCGGGACTCAATATTTGGGACTCGTTGGTTGGGACTTGATACTCGATTGTTGGGATTCAATGGTCAGGCATTGGGTTTCAGGACTCAAATCTTGGGCTTCGGGACTCGGGTTTCAAGACTCAGTAGTTGGGACTCAATTGTTGATTGTCGGAATTTGATAGTCAGGGCTCAGATATTGGTACACTTCACTTGATTTTCGATAGTTGGAACTTGGCATTTGGCATTTGGTAGGCTTGGATGATGTTGGCTTTCAAAGATCTATTATCATATATTGCTCAATGAAATACCAGACGATCGGAAGTGTGCTGGACATCACATATTCGTTTGTCGAGACCCGGGTCTTGGAACTCGGTACACTTCGCTCGAGTTTCCACTTCACCCCTTTGCAAGGCTCTGTGCCATACTACATCATTAGATGACTTTGAATTATTACCTCCATGATATACAACTAGCTGAGCTCCATCATGTCTACAATTATCATTCTCCTGGGCCCACCCGTTTATATTATATACCCCTATGTCGGCCTACCCGTCTATGCAATATATGTCTACCATTGGCCCACCCGTATATAATAAATCTTTCACCGCTCCCTCGGCCCACTCGTCTACAAAATAATACCAATACATCGGCCCACCCATCTACAAAATAATATTAATTCGTCGGCCCACCTGTCCAATATGATATATATCTGGGCCCACCTGTCTATGTGATAACAAGCACCCTTGATATACCCGGCTATTTGATACATATCTACCTTGGTACACCCATCTACATAATATCCAACTACCTCGGCCAATCCGTCTATTGAAAATTCATGTCCATCGGCCCACCCATCTACTTTACATATTCCCCACCTGGGCCAACCCGTCTCCATCGGGAATAATAACACTCCCGGCCCATCCGTCACAGTCGAGGATATATCTACCTTCGGCCCATGGTCCGCTGGCCCGTATCATATGGGATATTATGCACGTCCATTCACTCGTATAATACGGAGATATGTTACTGCAATATGTGCTGTCTTACCATCATTCCTGCAGAGCCAATATCCTAGAGGTGCTACAATCCTCAGCACTGTTTTATCTTCTGATAAAACAAATATCACTACCATGACTGGTGCCAGGATTGCCCATCCACTTCTTCTCGGCCTCGCCAACATACGTATGCATACTCGGACGAAACTCTCATCCAAAACATTCATGCTCATGGCTCTCCTCCCCATTCCGAAGTACCTACACCCCAACCAACGGATGCGTGGCATGCTTGAAGACTGCCTGGTGCATGAGTGCCTTTCAATTTTCCTGAAGCCCTTGATGATAGCGGCAGAAGTTGGCATCATGATGTCCGATCCAGTGGGAAATGTTCGACACTGTTTTACGCCTCTTGCAGCGTACATCGTCGATACCCCAGAGGCAGCCATGCTTGTGTGCGTACATGGGAAGACATCTCCTTTCACCATGGCTTTGTATCAATAGTTTGGGGATAATTTCCGGCACCCCCGCTCGTAAGCGTGCGATAACTCTCGCTCAGCTTGCCAGTATCGCAGTTGATCCAAATGATCTCGAGGCGTATTTTGAGGCATGCTCTGAACACTGTCTAAATGGTGTTCATGCACCTTTCTGAATGGGCTATCCCCGCACTGATCCCTCCATCTTCCTGATGCCAGAACCACTACATCACTGGCACAAGGAATTTTTTGACCACGACCTTCAGTGGTGTTTCAAGGTTGTTGGCGCCCAGGAGTTAGATTTCAGGTTTTCTATATTACAGCCCATCACAGGCTATCGCCACTTCGCAGGTGGAATTTCGAAACTCAAGCAGGTCACGGGCAGAGTTCATCGCGACATTCAGCGCTATATTGTTGGCCTGATATCTGGTTGTAGCTCCTCATCGCTTTGTGATTGCAATATGTGCCCTCATGGATGTCTGGTACTTGGCGCAGTGCCCTGCACCTGACGCCGACTTGCTGTCATGTATTGACCAATCCCTTTTGACATTTCATGAAAATAAGAATGTTATCATGACATTAGGGGCACGGATGGGAGCGAAGAAACCAATTGACAATTGGTTCATCCCCAAGTTGGAGCTCCTGCAGAGCATCACGTCTAGTATGCGCAAAGTTGGCGCCCTCATCCAGTGGTCCGCAGATGCAAACTGAACACGCCCATGTATCTGAAATTAAGGACCCTGCGCGACACACAAACGATAACGATTACGACCCACAGATATATCGCTATCTGGATCGTCAGGAGAAACTGCAATGTTTCACGATCACTACAACACTCAAAAGCCACAATCCTGCAGACGTTGCTGAGGAGAATGAAGGGGAAGAAGACAATATTGATCCTGATGAGTGGGAGCCATCTGATCCACGGACCGCCCTCCTGGAGGAGATGAATCAAACACGCATTACCACAAATTATTTCAGCAAAGCCAAGCAAAATGCTACCCTCAGCCGCAGAGAACTTGCTTACCCCCCTCGAACGTTTATAGGTGGTGCCACTGCTATCCATCTCAACTATGATCCATCTCAGAATGGAGTCAAAGTTGGGGACATTTCTGTTGACTACAATATACCGGATCTGCACGTCCTGCTTTCAGATTTCTTGCAGTGTGACGCGAGGGGCAGAGGAGTAGTTCATGAGGTCGCTTCAAGAAGGAGACCGTCAATCAATTGTCCTCCAATCCTTCCATTCGATCACATTCAAGTCTGGCATTCAGTTCGTCTACAGCAAACATCCTTCCACGATTCTAGCATCGTATTACCGCCCAGACTGTACATGCCTCTCCTTCGCGCCCTGGATGGCCCAAAGGCCGACGGGATTTTGTCCTGGTTAATATAGACGGAGCCACTGAATGGCCCAAATCAGGCCTAACAGGTTGGCACATTCACATTGCATATATTTATTCACCTATACAAATTGATGCACCCTTCGAAGGTCACACAATCTGTGAGTTATATCTTATCATATGTCCAATCGCTCAGCGAGGTTCTCGCATTAAATGGCGAGATCAATATCTCTGCTATGTACAGTGTTTTGAGTATTGGGCCAATTGATCCAGCCACCGGGATGCATACACTGGAACGCACAAAGCATGCTGATGGCTCTCCTGTTGGTAATTTCGTTCTGTTGAATCAACTTCGTGCATTCATCAGTGTTATCCCTCGACTGGGGGATGTGGTGGATGTGTGATTAACGAAAGCAACATCTTCGCATTACTCCCACTTGTTTTTTTTTGAATAAATACTTTGATAAAGAGATCTACGATGCCATTCACTATGCTTCACAATAATAGTATTAGTACTTACAATATTTACTCGTTGAACTGAATCGTTCGGTTGGTTCGAGAATATTTTTGCTCCATTAAGGGACAAATTTAGAAGCCCTATCGCACGAATGAGCGTGAATCATTGTGCATTGTGCATTGTGCAAGGTCTGAGCACAACATTGCTGTGTAAAACATGTCAACGACACAGTATTTCACCAATCACTATCTGCTGGCGACAGTTACCAGCTCCATCCCTGCTGGTGGCAATTTTTTACCTTGGATGAAGGAAGATATGGATTTATTGATGAAAAACGATCTCTTACCTATGGGTAGGGATGGCGCGCTCGCAGGAGGCAGACGAGTCTTATGGGAGGAGGGGATAAAAGGCAGGAAATCATCCATCCTGGATATCCTTATTCCGGGATCAGACCTCACAACCGAAGATATCTTGGGCATCAAATACATATAAAAAAAGGTCAAGCACTCTTACAGGGAGCATCTTTATTACAGAAACTGCGGTCTGGTCTAGAGTGGAGGCTCAATGGTGCCTTTTCAGGTCCTGTGAAGAAGTTAAGGCGGCGGCGGGAGTTGGGGAATGATGAGACAGACACAGACCTGGAGGAGATGAATGAAGATTCTATGATGGACACAGACGCCAGCTGGTTTGCAGCAATCGTTCGATGCTGGACAAAAGAGATCAAACCATCCCATCAAGACATCAGAAGAAAAAAGCTGGGAGCGCCTCTTGCGGAGCATATACTATGCTATGCGCAACATCATCCGCGAGGCCAATGACGAGTCCTCCCAACAAGACTCACTGAACCCCCTTCCCTTCAATGTTGTCCCAGATCCACGGTACTGGTCCTCCGAATTTGCCACCACACCCGTTCCAGACGCCACCGACTCGCGCAAGCCTGATTTAGTCCTCATGGACTACAGGCTGAAAAAGAATAAATCAGGCGAAAAGACCTGGGTGGATGTTCTCACCAATACTGAGATCACCAAGTCGGAATTGATTCAAGGAAAAGATATCCCTATATTCTTAGGGGTCGCCACCAAGGGATATCTTATAATGCGAGAACAGCCATGGCACCGTTTCGTCGTTTTGTTCAGCATTGCAAACCTCCAGCTCCGCGCTCATTATATGGACTGCTCTGGAATGATTATCTCTCAGCCCCTCCCAATTGGTGCCAATGCTGTGCGTTTTGTCGACGTTTTAAACACAATCACACTATCAGACCTAGCTTCCCTTGGGTTCAACCCTACCATTCACATTTGCACCGACCTCTGCTCTGCTGGTTCTCACAATGATCTTCCTGAGGGTATAGATCAAATGCCGGAAGGAACACAAGGCTGGGTGATGGACAATGATGGTGAGGTGTACTGGATCATGGCCATTTTATGGAAGAGTCGTGGTCTATTTTCGCGCGGGACCATTTGTTATCGTGTTCAAGAGTAGCACAGGACAGAATTCGCATTGAAAGATTGTTGGGTCAACGCAGAAAACCTGGATCATGAAGTGATGCTCCTCCGGGCAGTCAATGGCATTCCAAACGTGGTCAGTCTCGAAAAATATTGGGACGTCCAGTATGCCGGACAAACAGATTGCACCGAGAGGATTCGCGAACACATCAGTGAAAACCTTCCGGAAGCACCAATATACTCCAATAAGGTTCACCGTCGCATGCTATTGACCCCTTGTGGCTTCCGCTGACAACCTTCAAGTCCCTCCCTGAGCTAGTCAACGTTTTTCGAGATCTTATCATTGGTGAGTTTCTTTCGTGTTTGTTTACGTTCTTTGTAATGACAGCCGCTACCAGCTCACGAAGCAATGGTCACCCAACAGAACATTCTACACAGTGACCTCAGTCCCAACAATTTAATCATCCACGACGGAAAGGGTTACTTTATTGACTTCGATCACGCCAAATTCCTCAAAAACAATGCAGCAGTCAATTCGCGTGGTACTGTAAGTTATATTTCAATACATTCTTCGTGTATACATATCTCATATGCTTCAACCTTGAAGGGAACTGTACCCTATATTTCCTGCCGTCTTCTCAAGCTCATGGGAGACGTTCTGCGTCCATCCATGATTGACCACAGAGCCTCTGATGACCTAGAGTCTCTCTTTTACATCCTCCTCGAATTCACAACCACATACGAAGGACCCAGTGGTAAAACATCGGCCGAAGGAGTGCACCCTGTCAATGCCCCTAGGTGGCGCAAGGCTTACCTGATGATGGATGGAGATGGTCTGGGGACTAGTGGATCGTTGAAGAAAGAATTTCTCACAGAGAAACATCCGCCCTATGAACCAACACCATACTTCAAAGCTTGTCGCCCCATCCTTGAGGAATGGCGCAAGGCAATTGGGGACGCGCTGCACAACGAACGTGACTTGTCTCACAAAGAAATCCTCAAGATTATGCAACAGGGTCTGGAGAGAATTCTAAGTATGCCAGGTACCCCAACATCGCAAAGTGTTGCGTTTTTGCCAGCGACATCTGTCGCCACTCCTTCCCCTACTTCTCTTCCTCTCCCCATGCATCCTCATCACCCCATTTCTCTCCCTCCTGCTTCTCTCCCACCCCCTCATAATGAAGCTATGGCCCAGGATGCTGGTGTTCAGCCCCGTCGTTTGGGGCGGCAAACGCAGATGCTGCCTCCTGAACTCCCATCTGTTACCTGGGGCACAATTGCTCATTCAGCTTCTGGTTCCATGACATCACAATTCCATTCCTCTTCTCCTCCCCCCACTTCTGGCCCTATGGCCAAGGAGACTCGTCTTCGACCTCATCACTCCGGGCAGAAGAACAAAATGATTCCTCCTCCGCTCCCCATCATTGCCATTTATTGGCCCAAACGAACTTCCTGGCTCAGGTGCTGGCTCCATGACCGAGGAACTTCCTAGTAAGCCTCGTCGTTCTAAACGGAAGACTCGGAAGTAGGATTAATGGCACGTTTTACTGTGCAGACAATAATTTGCAAGGCAAGAAGCGCAGGCACGCTTCTTTTGCTCATTATTAGCTATCTTATTCTACCTTAAAACGAATACTGTATGCCATTGTTACTGCATGAACTAAGACCCTCGATATCGGATATCAGTCATTCTTTGTCAAGTGCTCATTAGCTTATGTAATACATTTTAAGTATTACCCCAACTGACTTCCTTACAGCTTCGTTTTCTTCACTCAATGCCTCCCAGGAAAAGGGCCAGACAAGGTTCCCCAGGCGATAGCTCGAGGAAGGGAGCCAAGGTGGCACGGGCAGATGCTGACGCTACTCGACGAAGCTCACGGTCCACGCGAGGGTATCGGTGGTCATGCTGCACAACTGCAAAAAACTGGTGAAACTCTAACGGCCCCAACAAGGCGCAAGAAGGCAGACGATCTCAATATCAGCGACTCCGAAGAAAATCCAATGGCTCCTTCGCAACTCAAGAGACGCAAGGAAAAGTTGCAGTATTTTTTTCAAATATTCAGTGAAAATACCCAACTAATAAACACTTGTCAGGCCAGCACTCCAAAGACTTCTGTTGAACCCGATTCTTCACGGCCAGAGAGCGAACGCACTCGTCTCCACATAGCCCGCCCTTCAGATAGGTTTGGTTTCAAGCCGTCCCAGTCCCAGGCAACCCATCCCGTCGGTCACAATCACAAGGAAGCCGGGTAGCGACGTCGCAGAGCAGGATTTGGAAAATTGTAGTGGATCGGGAGACTTGGATGATTTTGACGAGTGGGGGGAAGAGTGCCGATGAACACAAGACGCAAGATGAAAGACGAGCAGCTGACGATGATTTCGGGGGAGTACAACGATGGTCCAGCTTTGACTGATTCACCCCCAGGGGGTGATGGTAATGAACTGATGGAAATTGATGAAAGCCAGTCTGGACACAATGATGGGCGCACAGATACGATCCCTTATTATGTCCTTCAACACCATCAAGCGAAGAACGGACGTCGCAAGGCTCCTTCCCTGACCTGTTTATCAAGCGTGTGCCATTGGTTAAACGAATCACGTATTTGCTAACTTTCTCTAGAACTCTTGCAGCCACACTCTGACAAGTAACGCCTTTGGTCGTTCGAAGTCTCCTCGCCAATATTCACCCAAACATGTAAGCTCTTACTTTTGAATCTGCTTGTTTCTGATTTGCTACGCTACAGATCCCTCGTCGTCGGTCCCCTGAGACACGTACTTCTTCCACTCGCCTCAAGCCTCCCCAGCGTGCACCTCGAAAAGGGCCATCTGCAAAGGCTGGTTCTGCCCATGGGTAAGTTCAATGTTGATATTTACTCCCTATGCTCACTCAATGTCTCCGCATTCAAGCAGGGGTCGTGATCCCACGTCCCATGGACCATCTCGTCGACGCTCCCCGACTCGGTCAATGACTGCCTTTACTCGCTCAAGGTCTCCGCGTTCAAGCAGGGGTTGTGATCCCATGTCCCGTGGACCATCTCGTCAATGCTCCCCAACTCGGTCAATGACTGTCTTTACTCGCTCAAGGTCTCCGCGTTCAAGCAGGGGTCGTGGTCACACTTTCCGCAGACTGTCTCCTTCGCAATACCCCCCAGCTCAGTCAACAACCATTTTCACTCGCTCAAGATCTCCACATCGGAGTACATCCCGTGGATCATCTCCTGGACATTCCTCATTGCGGCCACCAGATAGGCGAGCCTCTCAATTCAATCACTCGCGGTCTCATACCCCTGTTCCAAGCCGTTCTCACTCGTGTACTCGTAGTCCCACACCTGAATCAAGGAACAGAGACAAACCCATGAACAAGCAGACGAATCCTTCGAAACTTGGGTTTTATCCACCATGTTGGCAAGCATTTCTCCAGGCCGCCAAATTAGAAATGTGCTTGCAAGCTGTTCTGACTCATCCTGTCCCAGAGCATCAGCATGTGCTACAGCTCGCACGAGAAGTCTTAGATGCAGTATTATGGAGTTACCATTCAAAGAAGATCAAAATGGAAAACAGTAAGTTTTAATTCACCAGTGTTGCTGTCATCTGATGCCCCTTGTCAAGGCTATTTCCCGCAGTATAGGGCACAGATGTCGCGCCTTGTGAGTCCTGAGTACTGACCGTGAACACGCTCACTGATTCATTGTCAGCTTTGCGACGACTTATTCACATTTCGCACCGAGCTCAAGAAAATCGTTATATCTATCACAAAACAACTGTACAGTATCTTTCCCAAAGCCAACATGGGGCAGAAGGACACCCTTCAATGGCATGTCGTCGAAGCGGCGTCGAAGCTGATCAAATCTGGCGACTATCTTTGATTGCCTGACTCATCATCGGTTAGTAACATCGTGGGGCAGTGCATATTACTGAAGCATTTTTCATTTAGGGCAAGTACAAGAATTTCGTTTCGCAAGTTCTCAAGGATGCATGTATCGACTTCTACTACGGTAATGGCAAAAAGGCCCTCAAGTTGACCAAAGAATTCCGCAAAACGATCCCCGTCAACGCGCTCATTCTCGTCAGCGCAGTTGTATGTTTTTTTAAAAATTTATTCTTAATGCTATTGCTGATGGTTTGACAGGCGAAGGGTATTCTAACTGGGTTCCGCAACACCAGCACAGACAAAGTCTCCGACCTGTCCGCTGATAAATGCAGGTCTGACTTCAACTCCCTACGAAGGTCGGTTGACACACTGATGGACAATTCTGAGTGTCGTCAGGAACTGGAAAGTATGCTAGAGGAATGGGCTGATGTGGGGATGATGGGTGAGTTTCAGGACGATTCTGATAGCACGGCAGGCAGCGATGATGTCAACATCGTTTTGTAGTAGTTTTTTTTGTCGTCATCAGTATCACATTTTTTTAATAGAATGACTGCAGCGCCTTACTAGGCCTGCACATTGTGTCTGTCATGTATTGTCTGTGTAGTACTACTGAATTGAATCTAAGTGTGTGTACTATGTCTAAACTGTGCAATGTGTCTAGTCTGTATAATGTGTCTAGTCTGTATAGTATGTCCAATGTGTCAAGATTGTGACTGTTTGTACAGGCTGTAAGGCTTTGTGACAAGCTTGTATAGGGGGGACTTTGTTGTGAAATTGTATTGCTTGTACAAGGGTTCAGTGATTTGCTGATGCGTCGAAGCGTGACTGAAGCGAATGACGTTCGTCGCTCACGTCATCGACGAAACGGAGAAACCCGAGCGTCACGCCGCCAGCGGACGGTTGTAAGTAGTTAAGACTGTCGTCCCTTAACAGTTACGCCAAAAGGCAGTGATAATCAAAGCTCAAGCTTGATTATCTCGGACAGTATCTATGTTGATTATGGGAACTCAGGTAAGCAACGAGCTTACAACGGTGTTGTTTTCGAGAGAAGTGTGCCACGGCCTAGGCCAATCAGAATGCATCAAGAGTGCCACATAGCAGTTTTTACCACATCACTCAGTACCACCATAAACTCTCGATGTCTGGTTTCCGTCGTGATATCCAGCTCCCACCACTCGATTAGGATGTTTCCTGCTGTCGGAAGTGCGGGGACTACGCAGCCAGTACATTTATGATTTAATCATGCAATAGAAAGCAAGTCTCTGTCCCATAACACTGATATCATGGAGTGTGGATGTCGTGGTTATAGGTTTAAATCGTTCACTCATGCTATTGTCTGCAGCGATCCTGGCCGGGAGGCTTGATTTCGAGGAAGGGATTGTTGTGGTAAAAGTCATGACGAAGTCATCAACAGAGTTGCCCCCTGAAAAGAGCCTGGGATCCTTGAAATACCCTGGGAGTTCGTACATTGGATAGATTGAATAACCATCGTACTCTTTCCGGAGAATCGCCTCATATTGGGGCGATTGTATTAAGCGGATCATCAACAAACAAATCGAGTATAGATCGGTCAAACATTGTCAAAAGAACTGTACAAAAGTGATGATAGCCTAGGGGACGAATGACCGTAAGCCTCAGGCTGTAACAGTAGAGTTGAGTTAACACCTCTTTAACTTTCGAGTAAATTTGAATTTCCGCAGGATCGCCATGTTGAGCAGCTGCATGGACGTGGCCCAATTGGCCGGCCCCAAGTCACACATTTATTTGAATAAGGTTCTTGAGCGTCAACAAGATATTTCCACACTGCGCATCTGATTAGGGCGCACCCTCCAAATAGTACATAGACCGGATCATTTAACATTATTTTGATTCGCAGACTTCTCATCATGCTCTGGGCCCCTAAGGCAATTACAATAATCGCATGTGGTCATGTCGTTCGAACACTAGATGATATCACTTCCAATTTTCCAGCTATCTTCATATGACATCTGAAAAATTCACTTACCCGCCTTTAAAAGTGATTATTGGAGCGACATGCTGGCTACTTTATACGGCAAGTCGTTGACCTTACTACTTCAGGCCTTCAAGCTTCGGGGCTTGTGCGGGGCGGTACAAAATTCAAATGCTGCAACGAGACCTTGGCGTGTACGCACATCTGCGACCAGCTGTACATGGTGATGGCAGTACTATGCTACTATCGACATGAATATAGCTGTCATCGTGGTATCAATCATTTTCGTCCAAAGCACCGTCATTCGTCCCTTGGATCAACCATTCACTCAGACGACAGTTTCGCACCAAGAAGGTTCGGAAAACGCGTCGGTTGACCGGACTCACTCAGCCATATTCACTTCTCACTATTCAGTCCTACAGAAAGCTCTCTTTTGGATCAAGAAGACGAGGATGATGATAGGGACGACGCTGCCATCGAACCCTCCTTCTCCTTTCCCGACCTAGACGAGCGGATAACAAGCTATCAAAGAATATGGCGCCGTCTTCCCAAAGCTCGATTTCTCCTCACCAAAGATTTCATCGATATCAGCCCTTGTTCACATCAAACAGCTGTTGACAGGACGCATCATGGGTGTTGCCATCATCCTCGCTCTGCAAATGCACATCCGAGTCTCCATTAGATGTCTACATCCTATCGAAATCCTCGGATTTCGTATCCCACGATCTCAGTGTCGAGTCCGACACGGTCTTTGAGGGGTGTCAATGCGATTACTCAAGCCCATCATCTTATCAACTCGAGCTTATGGTATCATGGGACCTGTAGATGGGAGTCGCGAGTTCAAGTGTTTCGTCCGTGAAGGCCGTCTCATAGATATGTTCCGCTTTCTCATCGTTGCTCAGACAAAACGACGACGATCATACTCATGTCATGCAGGAGTATCTCAACGCGACACAAATTTCTACGACTTCGTGAACGAGCCCGAAGCACGACAAAAGATTATCAAGGCGCTTCAGCGTCCTTGGGAGAATGGTCAAGTCCAAAGACTGTATGTGTCACATTTTCTTGTTGTAGTTCTTACGCTCATCGCTTTTATGAAGACATTGTTGATTTGTTGATGACCCGTGGCCTGTCTCGGGGACATGTCTTCGACTTCAAGCCATATCATTCCGAACGGATTCCCTCTTATTCACGTGAGAAGAGGTCTTGTCAGCCTTCACTCGGGGCAGTACATCTGAGCTCCGTATATATCAACTCACCTTCGCATCCGGTCACAAGACACAATGCACCAGTCCAGCAACACGATATACTACCAATCGAAGCCAAGTAGTGGTCAGAATATCGATGAGTTCTCAGATCTGTGGAAGGAGATTCAACAGTCTATCGACGGCGTTGATTAACAGATCCGATTATAACGTAGGATTACACTTTTAGAACCTGTCAAACTTAATACCTAGAGTCACTAGCACCACTGTCAGTGAATGCAGGACGAGTGGCAGCAAGACCACGAGCCATTCTTGTAGACGATGATGATGCCCTCATCCTCCACGAATTAGACAGTATCTGAGAATATATAAACTCCCTTAGACTTCCTCTATCCACTGGGGCATCCTCGAGTTTCAGACCTGCTTACTCGAGGCGCTTGCGAAGAACATTAGAAGTTTTCACAAATGGAATAATATCCAAGCCGATGATCCCGGGATATCAAGACAAATCCTCGAAGCAGGCGCTTTCAAACTTACGTGCACACGCAGGATGAGGAGTTGGTGGAGTGTGAGATAACGTGTTGCGGTGCATCGATCATCACGAGTCAACTAATATTCACCGTAGATCCTCACAAAATGAGCGGATATCACCGCAAGCCACGGAAATTCGACGCAGGAGATCATGGCGGGCCGGATGGTCGTCGTGTTTGCTCATGCCAAACTACAACTCATTGTATATGCTCAAATTAAAACGTGGATGTGTGGTAGCCAAAACAATATTTGCAATTGATACAAGAGTGGCCGCCAGAATGGTAATAAAAATGGTAGCATAGTAATAGGATAGCAAGGCTAGCCAGAAAATGCGAGCGCCAACACGGAGAGCAAACGAAAACACGCAAGTGAGATCAGACGTGAACTCGAACATGTTTCAAGCAACGGAAAACGAAATTATGATGTGATGATGCGAAGAACAGACGCAGAGCATGAAGTTGATGATCAATGTGCTGGGTCGGATGGATCATGGCACTGGCTGCAAATTCGTGGCAGTGTTCAACGGCCACTCTCATTTCTTTCAGTGAACGTATTCAAGTTCAAACCTGTGTACAATTGGGACCATAATTAGTGAAATACTAAGAACAAAGAAAATATACTTCTAGAATACCGGGGACTGTGTTATCAAGCATTGCCACCATCCCATTAGACCATGATCTAGAACGTCTCTCAACGGATAGAAATGGATACGAAAAAAAGTGCCAGTCATGTCACATGTGTGACTTCATTGTTCGTGGCAGTGCTGGAAGCTTGAGCGCTTGAGCACAGGCCTTGGAGCTTGGAGACTGGTACATGCGACGAACCGTAGGTATTTGCAATCGGTCGGTTTTTTGCACTACACCGTTTAAAAAAATCTGCTCATGAACTGTGGCACTGCAGATCTATGTGTGGTGTGGCGACTAGTTCCACTCAGCTGGACACTTCTATAACTGCAGGTTGCATCTGTCTCGGTTTCTATTGAGTTGTCTAAAACAACAAAACTAGGTTATGAACGCCTCTACTTAGGTAGTGATCAATACATGTCCTCCTTGGACCGTGAGCATACCTAACGTCTATTCCGCTTACAAGTACGTCCTTGACGCACGGATCAGAAACTTACTTCCGAGAACTCAACGTGGACGATGACTGCAACTGTTAGAACCGAGCAGATAAGCTCATGCTAAATATCGCACAATGTAGACGGGAACACCAGCTCCACAACAGGTATGTCCGTCCCAGCCGCCGTCCCACGGGATGCATTGCCTGGATTGTATATCTTATAAGCTGACTTCGCGAAGTCAATTCATTGCCATAAACCAGTATGAGTACTTTGCAAGGGACTCAACCTGATGCGTTCTTGTGGATCAAGGTGAGTGCTAGTTCTGTTATCAAGTCCATCCTAGATTGTTGATGTGTCGTCCTAGTACGGTTATGGTGCGGTTATTGTCCGTTAGCTAGTTTCATTTGTTGACCTATGTTTCTCCTCCTGATAGTTGCATTATCATCACTTTGGGTGAGCTATAGAAGTCGTCATATACTTGGCAATGGCTTACAATTTCAATTCAGGTTTATGAATATGTACTTTGCATAGCTGACTCGGTAAGTGGCATCTAGCTCGAATGTGTGACAGTGCGAGTCCTCTGAGTTTTACTTGCGCAGGTCACCTATCTTATCGAGTCCCCGTGGAGGCTTGGTACATTGTTTTATCTTGGCTGCAGTCACTTTCCATTTGCCTTCTTGTTACTAGGTATGCTTAGTGAGTATCAGATATGCACCTGCATATCGTCTTTTCTTACGTTGGGATGCCTCTTCAGCGATTTTTCAGCCTGATGCATCAAACGCTGTACGCACAAGTGATGCAGATATTTGAATTTTAACTCATACACCGATCATAGCTTTGTCGTTCCTATGAGGAAGCGAATCTCTGTGAGTCAAATGATACTCTACTCTGATTACATACAGATTGGGCATCTGACACCTCATTAGATATAGGGTTTTTGACGATTTTTTTCGCTGAGTGTAAGTCCCCCTATTGAAATAGCTGATTTTCCATTCTAACATCTGCAAAATCCCTGATGGTCCAGGTATCTTCGTACTTAGAGCATTGGCAGTATACCACCGGGACAGAAAGTGGGTGGTGTTTATGACCATCTTCGTCATCGTGAGACCAATACCAGCAAGCTGCAACCGACTCCGATATCTGACACAACCTCCACAGGTCCATCTAGTGCCGATGATCGTCTGCTTTTACAAATTTGCTTCATTGCTGTCTGGTGTGTGTGTTAGACTCTTTCCCTGCTCAGCTCTTAATCTTGATTTATTAACCAAGGAGAATGCTCGATCCCTGGGTTTATCAGATATGTAGACACGAAGGAAAAAATCTTAGTGTTGGTGATGTACATCTTACTGGCTTCTGGCGAGCTCGGTCGGTATCAGGAACTGCTATTAGTATGAGCTTGAACTGACTGCATGCACATAATTTCAGGCATATTGTTGTTTCTGTTGCATCGCACCGTCGATTTTCGGAGCAGTGGTTGGAAGATCGACAACCGTCTTAAGCGTGGTCTCTTGCACCATAATCTACTGTACTTCGGTTGGAGCTGTGGTTGGTGCTTGCATAACTCTAGAATATCCACTTGCTAAATGCGGTATAGCTTTTTTTGCTGGTCTCGGTCTCACCAGTAGGATCTCCTCGGTAAGTTACTGTGCACACTCAATGCCATCTCATTAACACGAGGCGTAGATTCCAGCGGCACACATAGTCGCACAGTTTGTTTATTCCCAATTTGGATGTGATGAGGATTACTTATTCGGCAGCAGGTATCATGTCGTTGTGCAAGCTCTCCTGGTCACACGAATGCACAGGGACTTCTGGAGATCGGACCGTGCCTTTTGTGGCATCTCCGGAGAGGATGTCTCTTTCGCAACATTCATGGTAGCAATTCCAGATATTGTTTGACGGTGCATTCCCCTCCAAATCACTGTGAAGCTAATTTATGCAGTTAGGATGGCGCTGGATCCATTCATTTTTTTTTTAAAAAAAAATCATTATTTATTGTCCGTTGGGGCAGCGCCCTATGGTAGACAATACACGTAGTATGTACTCTATCTTATAAATGATGTGTTCTCGGGTGTTGGGTCTTGTTCATGTTCAAATAATACATACATGAGATGCACATTTGCGCGCACTACCGTACTACCGTTGCCCAAGACGCGTGACTTCTCGTACTGGTAACGCTGTTGATTATTCTCACTCTTGGATAACACAACCCTCCTTTCCCACCTTCTCCTCCACTCTGACCGCCTTTTGGTATTTTCTAGGCTCTTTATGTCTCTGTAGAAGTTCCAATACATCCATATCAAGACATCATCAATCAAGCCCTTCAGAGTGCCAATCATGGGTGCATGACAGGAATTGGTAATTGTTGCAAGTACGGAAGCCTCGACTGATGAGCAAGGGGTGGAGGGCACTATGGACAGAACGTCGCAGGCGGTGTCATGATGATGTCCAGATCTACGGAAATTTTAAAATAGTATGTTCGTGACTCATCAATATTTCGGCCGTTTTCCGTCGATACGGTGTGGGCCAATTCTCACTGGGGTTCAGCCATATGTGGTCCAGTCCACGGTTGTTTTGATGATCCGACAGTTCTAAGTTCGGCTTGCGGAATAGCTGCAAGCAGACGACGCAGCAACAGCAAATCCCAAGAGATTTGACATTCAACGATGCACTCGTGGCGCCAATAGAGACATGGCCAGTGACTTGCACAGCAATTGCAACAGGACTCAACGTCCTCGTGCGAAAGCTTGGAAATTGCATTCATTTCACTAGATAAATTACAAATGCTCTACATATGGTCCAGCATAGGGCCCCGCTTCAACAATGGACAAGGATCTAAAATAAATAAAATAAGAACTTACTCATTGGGAGATCATTGGGAAAGCTTATCGTCTTCGTGAAATTTCGACATGAGCTTGACACCAACGAGATATCCTAGGAGCCACGTCAAGAGATATCGCGTTACCACGGCGTATTAGGTTGCTTAGTCGGACACACAGCAGATGCATGGTTCGGGCTGACTGCCCCTTACTGCCTGTGTATAAAAGTGAAGTCAGTTCAATAGCAAAGAATATCATCCAGCCCTGTCCTCAAGTGCAACAATGAAATCCATCTCACTCACCACTATGATTATGTCTGCTGCGGTGCTGGCGGGCATCGTTACAGCACAACAAACCCCCAACGGCCGCCCATGCTCCTATCCTGGTGAATATCTTCAGTATATGCGTATGCTGATGTCAGGACTTACGGGTACTTGCAGAACAGTATGAGTGCGGGCGATACGCGGGTTATAACAGGGGTTATCCGTATTTGTTTTTCTGTTCGGTAGACAGCACTATCGAGGTCATTGAGACTTGCAACTGTGGCGAGTGCTGTACGGTCATCGATGGAGGTATAGCTCCCAACGGGTACTTCACTTGCACGTAAGAGGAAAGGTGAGTCCGCTTCTGGCTTGCCATGTCAATAATGTCAGTGATACGCTACCGTGACAGCTGTCTCCGTAATTGGCACAGGCTGGCGCTGGGGAAATATGGTTGGGAGCTTAGGGTACAGAAACACTTTGTCGAGACTCAAGAACGTATTCAAATAAACGTGTGACTCCACGTCCTGCTGCAATATGTCAGTATTACATTAGGCTGCAGATATGGGCAGGACGAGAGTCTCACCAGACGTCATCGTCACCGCTACCTTCATCGATTGCTTTGGCTTCTCGACATATATACCTTCGATTATCCACCACTACCAGCACAATAGTGATGACAGATCTAATTTATCGATCCGCTGAGGAAACTGAATTGTGAAGATGCCTTGTGAGACTGGTCAACCGTCAGCCGGGTTGGTAATGATCTCAGTCGACAAAACCACTTTCCAATACAAGCGCAGGAAATCCACAGTTTTGAAGGCCTGTCCCTTGGTAGCGTGATCCGGCACAGCGTCTTTGTACGAGATGAGATGACGAACGAGCTGCAGACTGACGCGAACATACCTTGTGAGCTCCTCGAAGCGTTCTTCGAAAATGGATTTTCGTACAAGGTAAGACGACAAAGTGGCGTAAAATCAACAGCAACTCACATATTCGACACCTCATAGTGCACAATCCGACGTCCCCTCTTCATCAATATGATGTTTGCTATCGCTGAAGAAGGTGGGACAGCGCGTTTTGTTGATGCAAGAGTCATGAAGGTACGTCTGCAGGGATGAGTGCACAATTGTGTCCCAGGCCTGCAACGATGGCCACAGCATATGAGTACTGTCAAGGATGAATAAAAATATGTCAGAGATCTCTGTTCTTGAGAATAAATTCAATTTCAATACCTCTAGCGTTCTGACGTCCATGGAGTTACGAACAAAAGCCGCTGACTTCGGTAATGCTCTCGTAATTAGATGCGATCATTTTGTGCTCCTCACCCTGCTCTGTGCTAGAAAAAGCTGTCCAGGCCCATTAACCTCAACACTCGCGAATCGGATCGAATTCAACTAAGTAGTCTGGTCTCTCCAAGAGGCTCGTCGAGCGAATCGTACCTCGGACCAATCGACTATGCTCTGCTCTGCGCAGAAAAACAAGCAAGCCTGTCTGTCGTGGCGATTCCGGTAGAAATTGCATCAGCTTGTCTTCTGCAATGAGTAACACGTCTTGAACTGCCTTGATCTCATATGTGAAACAAGCCTAAGATTCTTCAGCACGCCTCCATCCGACTTCTAAGATAGAAACAAGACATATGCAGCCTGAGTTTTGGGTTCGCGAAACGACGAGCACTCGAGTGATGTATGAATGTTATGAATGGTAGCGTGCAAGACCGTGGCGGAGCTTTGTACGAAGTGATGTCCATTGTCGCTAGCAGACAACGTGGATGACCCGGTGTTATTGGTGAGCCTTGCTGGACACGTGTAGGGCAGGCTTTTGTTTACAATAATATGAAGGTTCGACCGAACGCAACGACATGCCACAGAGTCTCAACCTAAGTGACTGGTCACTGAGCTGAACTACCAATGGCAGCCTTTGGCAGGCTGTAAGAAGAGTGTACCTAATACCTAATACGCGCTTGATACAAACAAATGTAAACAAAGCATAAGCGTTGAAACATAAAAACTGGCTTCCCTCCAATTTGCTAGACCAGCATCAACGGCGAGGATGACGTTCTCACCTGTTCGTATCACGAAGGTCCCTTCTATAAAAAATGCACCGCTACTTGGTTTAGCAGAAGGCAATGGTTACTTCTCAAATGCTCAACTCGCTGCTCTCGTCCTCGTCGTACCATGGATCATCAAACGCATCCTTCCCTTTGTAAACCGTGGCGGCCTTAAGACATATCTCTTCATGCTCGTCATCACAGGTATCCCTGTCACTGTCGCTTATTGGGCTGTAGCGAGCACCTATGGTCGTCGCAAAAACGTCAAAGTTCTTATGCCCGGTAAAGACCTCGAAGACTACATCACTATCCACGACCCGGAACTCAAGGAAAAATACCACGGCAACACGAAAATCCCAATGCAGGTCTTCCACGACGCGTACTTTGAAGGCAAGATTGACTTTAAGGGTAATTTTTATTTTTGCGTTTCTGCTATGATTTCACCCTCACAACGCGCACAGGTGACGTGTTGGACATCATGGAGGAACGTCATGATTGGGCAAAAATGGTCATGACACCTGAACTTTTCAAATACGTCTTCACGAATCTCCTTCCCGAGGTCATCGTTCACTCTCAATCTCAAGACGAAGAACAGGTCCGCGACCACTACGACAGTAAGTTGTCTTCTACTTTTGTATTCACTCTACTTACTTGAACCATGTAGGAGGCGATGACTTTTACTCATGGTACGTGTCCTCCTCAATTCGACGATATTCTTTCTAAAACATCACAGGTTCCTCGGTCCACGCATGATCTACACCTCCGGAGTCATCAGCAGACGCCAACAAAGACGCCTCCCTTGAAGAACTCCAAGACAACAAACTCCGCCTCGTCTGTTCCAAACTGAACCTTAAACCCGATGACCGTCTCCTCGATGTCGGCTGCGGCTGGGGTACCCTTGCAGCCTACGCAGCCAAGAACTACAAATGCTGACGTCACAGGTATCACCCTTGGTAAAAACCAGACCAAATTTGGTAACGAGCGCATCAAGACCAACGGCGTCACCCCCGACAAGGCTCGTATCCTATGCATGGACTACAGGGATATCCCAGGCGGCCCTGGACACTTTACCAAGATCGTCAGTCTGGAAATGGCAGAGGCAAGTACTGCTTCCTCCTCACCTTCTCGTCTAACTCTCAACAGCATGTCGGAATCAGGCGCTACGGTTCATTCATGCGTCAAATGTACGACCTCCTCGAGGACGATGGCATCTTCGTCCTCCAAGTTGCCGGTATCCGTCCTTCATGGCAATACGAGGACCTGATCTGGTAGATGTCGTTGTCGTCTGATATCTCATACGCTAACGTCGCGCAGGGGTCTCTTCATGAATAAATACATCTTCCCCGGTGCAGACGCTTCTTGCTCTCTCGGCTGGGTTATCAATCAAGTCGAAGCCGCCGGGTTTGAAGTGAAGAATATCGATGTCTTGGGCGTGCATTATAGCGCTACTATCTGGAGGTGGTATTTGAACTGGGTTAGCAACCGCAAGGAGGTGTGTCCGTCTTCTTCTCTCTTCCTACTCATTCTACTCACGCGATACTGATCTGACGCGTCCTAGGTCGTAGAGAAATACGGCGAACGCTGGTACCGAATCTGGGTCTTCTTCCTCGCCTACAGCACCATCATCTCCCGCCAAGGTAGTGCCAGCGTCTTCCAACTCACCTTGCACAAGAACCTCAACGCCTACCACCGTGTTCTGGGCGTTGAGAATCATTGGAGTTTGCAGGTGCGCGATGGGAGGGATGCGGAGATTAGGTGAGTTTTTTTCTAGATTAGTTATGCTTTGTTGAACTGGACTGATGCGCGCGTTGGAAGCTTGGTGGAGTGAAAAACTACGTATACATATACGGACGGACGATGCGCGATGCGCTATATACCACTTGCTTGAATTAATGTTTTGGTCGTACAATATACCGACTTATTTGGAGCCCCAGCGTGATGTGCTTCTGCTGCTCCCTCCTTCGTGAATCCCGCCCTACACAGTATTGCTCAGATATGCGCATATATGATATGAACGTTGCGATCGAGGTGCCAGTATTGCTTTACATTTATTTGTCTATGATCCGCACGTGCACGGCGGGAAAATTCAACCATTGTCTCACTCAAGTCTTACTTTACCTTTTCGTCTGCCATAAACGGTTTCCACGATTGCGATGTAACTCCTTATCAACATCAGCGTCCTTGCATGATACATGTGCTTATGCGTCATCTCTGACGTGCATCCATGTATTAGGCATGAGACGTCTACAGCGTCACGGCTCATGGACTTGGCGTTGGCAAGTCCGGGTTAAATCTCGAGAGTTGATCGTCCCTCGTTCATATTCTGTTGGGGCAGTGATGACACGTACTCATTCTGAAGATGTCGAGTATCGGGGTCTGGACTGTTCTGATGGGTCCTGTGGAATCGTGTGGTACCCATCTCAATACTTGAACTTAGTGCAGCGCTCGATGCCATGTCAATGTTTACCATGCTAGTGTTTTTGACCTGGTTTCGACTATTATATCCCTGGTCGATCATCTGATTTGGGATCTGGCCGCTGACATCTGGCATCTAGAGCAGCGCAGATAATCGAACTTTTGTAAGTTTTTTTTCTTTGCGCCTTTTCATTGCAAACGTTCAGGTTCGAACCATCCAGTTTATAGTATCGATCCGACCATATCAATGGGCACTGTCACATTTTGACCATGATTCTATTCAGATTGTGATACACACTCCCTCAAAAGATGTTGACTCGCCTCAGGCTCTCAGCGGGCATTCCATCGAGTGGTGAACTACTAGTGGGGACATCATCGCTGCACGAGCAGCGATGATATTCGCACTAGCCACATCGAAACCTAGTAGCTATGGTGTTTGCACCTGAGCGGAGTGTTTCTTGGCAATAGCGGTTGGCATCTGGTATTTGGCCGTTGAAACGTCGACGTCTGAAGCGGCGCACGGAATACTGTACGAATCGAATTCGAATAGTAAGTATTTTTGCATCCATTCATCGCAAATGCTCATCGATATCTACGTTCGAATCATCTCTGTGCTTGTTTTGCTTTCATCTGTCGTGGTTTTCCTTTTCCAGGAACACCACGATCTTACCGACCTTGTCTGTTATATATATGGCGGTTGGACGTCGTCCCGTGGGGCCTCGCACTTTGGTGCCGAGTTGATATTTGAGAGCTCGAGCATGTACGTTTACGTGGACCCCCGCGGATCTCATTTCACAGCGTCTACTTCCCCACCACGGGTGCAAATCCAGACTTCACAAATACAAGCGCATACGGATAGAAAAGCGATGGCGATGGATGGCCCTTTGTGCTGCTGCACAAATATGGATGTGTCTTTGGATTTTGTGGATGTGTGATGGTGTTTTGCTCAGACAGACTCCGACTAACTTCGGTGCTGCTAGTAAGTACAACGGCAGAAATCCGAAAGTGCCCTGGATGACCACGATAGATTGCTTTGCAGCAGAAGGTACAATCGTCATCGAGTTACATGCACACGCTAATCTACAATCCATTTAATTGTATACAAAAACTGCAAGCCTCTCCAGCCCATCGTCCGACTGAGGAAAGACATGAGGAAACATCCACCACCCATGCGTCAAATCCGCATACTCCACAAGCTCAGCTATCCCGCCCGCATCTTGGATACCACTCACGATTTTCCGTGAGCTCTCAGCAACATTATCAGCTGTGCCGGTCATCACCAATGTCTTCGGCCAGCTTGCAGTGAATGGAATTAAGATGCCTGATGCTAGAGGGTCGTTGGCAGGGAAATTGCCTAGATATTGAGAAGAACAGGCTTGGTAACTTGATAGAGGTATGATGTCGTGAGGTACGGAGGTGGAGGAGGCGTAAGTGAGGTCTGCGTCTGGGGAGAAGAGTACGATGTGACCTGGCCTCGGCAGGGTAGATTGCGAGATGATGTACGTGAGGACAAGAGCTGGATGAAAGTGAGATACGAATAAGTAGTCGAATTTGTACCTTCGTCAGGCATGGAGTTGACGAGAACTGAAAACAACTTGATGGCGAGGTGCTGCAGGGATAATCGCACTAAATATGAAGTTCAGAATAGTACACACTGAAACGTGAACTCACTGCAAGCACACAAGCATGTGGATGATTCTGCAGAGATTCCCAGAATTTCCCACCATGCTAGTGGGTTACCGTCTTTGACTTGCTGATTGAAGGGCCATTCGTCACACCGAAACGCTTCGATCTGGTGGCACAACCCACTCACAATTTCAGCCGCAGAGAGTACCTTGAAGATAGAAGCCAGTAGTGCAGAGTCAGGATTTGTTGAATGTTACCTGTAACAATTGTGACATGTCACTCAACACCTTCATTCAAGTGCTCTCAGATGAGATTTAGATACTAGGCTATTCTGACATGGTGCTGGCTGATGCTGGATGCTCTATATAATTATTAACAATTATTAACAGGCTAAAAGTGCGTCTGACGTTCCTCGGTGTTATTAACCGGTTAATAACCGGATGTTAATAACCGATGTTAGTAACATCCCTATTTCTCACCGAGCCCTAGTTCCTATGGTGCGCGTCACTTAGGCACCACCAATTGTGTGCAGAGGCCAAATTGACTCGAAGTTTGTAACCCTAACCCTAACCCCTACAAGCCGCTGCCAAAGTCGACGCGGAGGATCAAAGCTACTCAGGCTCGTGCAGCTCGTTGGCCCAATAAGCCCACTTCTCCGTCTCGTTCACAAGCAGAGCATAGCCCCGTCGTTGATGCTATGCACAGCTGAAGGTCCAGCAGTTCAGTTCAACCAAGTACAAGTCCCACCGACGAGTTCCGGAGACTGTAGCACAACTTTTTGATTGACTGTCAGTAGGGTAGATAACAAGTGGCCAATCTGACTGCCGACGAAATTTTTATCTCCGTCAAATTTGACCAGATTGAAAATCGCTCTTACAGTTTTGTTCGTCTCATCAAAAGGAACATTTTTGTAAGAGGAATTAAAATTCTGACGTTTATTCAAGACAGTAGGACTTTAGCACACAATTGGTGGTGTCTAAGTGACGCGCACCATAGGGTGTTGCTCAATAGTTTTGCCCGATTTCTGTGAAACATCATTCTAGCATGAATTCAGTGCATCATTTCAGAGTAAAATTTCAGAGTAAAAAACGGCAATTTCAGCACCCTGATTTCAGTACCTAATGCCCTGAGTTTCAGACCATTATCATCCGATTTCGCTCACTGAATTTCACTGGAACTACTATCCACAGTGCAGAGGTGGCCAAATCAGGAAAGGAAAGCTTTAAACGTTTAGGGTCTGCGTAAGTAATTTACGAGAGGTTGGCCATAAGGTCAAGTCGACATTGACAACGACATTTTAGAATTGAGCAGCCCTTAGCTAGTATGCGCTGATAATTTTGTGATCGCACGAGAGGCTTCTGCGCCTGGCTGTACCAACGATTAATCAAAGCTAATTAAGGTTTAGTCTTCATCTTGTCGGTGACCTGATGTTAAAGATCTAGCAGCCTCTCTCACTATCAATATCCCACACCAATATTAGCGAAGAAGCTCGTCGTCTTTTTTACTTCGTCAGAATTTCCCTTAGCCATATTGGAACCTTGGTTGTTCTTTTGCTTCTCAACCTAGACATCCATCTCTTGCGATATCTTCATCTTACTACATACCATCCTATACCTTCAATGGCTTCCACTCTTGCACCAGTTCGTGTATCATCCCCTGCTCCAACACCAAGCAAGAACACTTGTAACACGCCTCACTGTCGCAAACTGTTGGGCGTGGACATAGAAACCAATCAAATATATTACATATATACCGAGGACCCATGGTGGGCTTATCGATCGAGGCATCATTCGCGAGGGTTCTCATAGCTAAAATCTAAGATTTCGATGAGCATTTTCCACTTCACGGCCGCACATGTTGTGCACCACTATTTCCTTACCAAAATATCACTGAAAATATCTGCAAGACTGCTCCGAGCTATACGTCACTGTCAGTCAACTCGTGTATGCCCTCTTGGAAAGCAATTGTAGTCATAACAGTCCCTTCATTAGAGTCGGCCAGAAGCCAAGCGTGATGTGCTCGGATGCTAAGGATGAGGTGTGGGCCCAGCACAAACAATTGCACGACGGAACCGATTTGGCTAACGCCGTTATAAATCTGGACTCCCACGGAAGAGGGGTTCTATAGGAATAATGATGAGAGGTAAGATTCAGACATCAGTCGCAGATTGTGCATACCGACAGATTGTTGGACAGATAGCCGAATGTGAATAAAGACATAACAGCAAAGCTAGCGCATGAGGAACTTCAGCAGAAAATTATGGTCACAGTTAAATCGCAAGCTCACGCTGCAAAGTAAAGCACGTGTGTCTTTATTAACACCATGAAACAGTCCTTGGTGTTCCATCTTGGTCGTCGTTGCAGTTCACGGAAGTGTTTTATGACAATCCAGACTGCAAAAGACAACGCGAGGACCTCCCATATGAGTCCAGTCACGTACTCCCAATCCATGCCAATCAAGAGTGGGGTGTTTGCTTCCGTAAAGTAGGTCATGCACTGATAGGCACCAGAGAGGATGAATTCCTCTGGGATTCGTCTCATGAGCCTGGTGCACTTGAATCTTTCATACAAAATCAAAACTTACCCGATCGAACATGGCTCTCGACTATCGCAAGGAGTACTCCAGTCGTGATCGTGAGAGTCAGGGAGATTACAGCAAGAAAGATGAGTATCTTTCGGGATCCCTGATACATGGCGTATATCCGAATGATCATGGCAACTTTGCATGACATTTCAGTGAAGTCAGTGCCACCGCAGTTCAGCAACTCACCGCCCAATGTGACTATTGTGACGACGGGCGTCCAGGTATGTAAGCGCCAAAGAATTTCGCCTGAAAACCCAGGTTACTGATGAGTCTCAGAGTTCCTTCAAAAAAACTCACAGCTGTAGGCGGTCATTATGTTAAACGAGCACGTTGACCAAGAATATTACTCACCCCTATGTAGAAGTATAGTTAGTTGGTCTGGAGTGGCAAGGCTTAGTGTGGAAGACCCACTGCATCATTCACTGAGACTGTCGGGACATAGACTGCATCCTGCCAGTCAGAGACAAAGAACACTGTAGGTGAGAAGACATACACAGGATAATGGTGCTGCTCGTGAGATGGCTTTTCAGTACAGCACCAACTTGACAGCACTAACGACATACCTACAGTAAATCACTCCAAGGCAGCGCACCTATCACTAGTCAGTGCAGCTTGCCGACGGTGATTGTAAGATAAGGTGCGTACACCGAGATATAGAACCGTGATGAGGGACCAGGGTTGCGACTGCCCAGAATTGAATATATTATCCATGTTGATACGGGGACTGTACTCACCCAGACGAGTTCGAACTATGGAAACGTACTTAGTGAGATGGCATCTCCGATAAATCCATCAACCTACCTCTTGTCCAGACGTTAGTGCTGAAGAATATGATAAGGAGATCAGTAATTGCTTCGTGATAAGTAGAATCTCGCTCACCCCAATTGTATATCACCAGAGTAGAGGATGCAACTGCGAAACCAAAACCAAATATTATCATTCAGTGAGAGCATCGCCAACATCTTCCGGCTTGTTTCCAACAAACCTGCGTAGTAGCTGTAAACGATCACAAAATTGATGGTTGGCCACCACTGTGGATCATTTGATGTATAGGTCATATTCAAGCGATTGGTATCAATGAGTAGTAACCTGGCGGACTAGAATCAAAGCTTGTAAACTTTAGCTGTTATGTAGTAGATCTGCTAACCAGTGTTGTGCGGAATGTTCGAATACACGGTTGTTGGATAGCTGTGGAACAGACGATTGTCTCTAAGGCTACCCATCATGATTCTCGAGAGTTTTTGCCAAGTACGCGCCTCAGGTCGAATTAGTAATAGCTATAGCGAAAGGCAGCAGTGGTCTGACCATATACAGTTAACTATGAGATTTTAATTTGTTCACCGGTTCACTACTTAGATCCCGTTCGGGCATCGTGAAAATGCTGCGCCACTGCTGCGACTGCTGCAGCAACTGCCGCGACCACTGCTGCGCTGCTCCCAAATAGTGAGTGCGCATCAATTACACTTACTGCTAGTCACTGGAACCTCCCAATCCTTGTCCTCCAAACGAACCATGGAGTCGAGTGTGCTCCCTATTATTATATTCACGCTCACACTAGGTCATGGTCAGATGGTATCATCACAAGTACTTCTGGTCTGCAAGTCAGGTCTCCCATATATCGTTTCAACGACTATCTTCCTTGTTGCCAAACAATCTTTCATATTGCATTGTAGTCTTATTCCTGCGTATGCAATGCTATTTTTCTTTCTTCTAAGCAAGTGACTGCGCAGTCGCGGGCATCATCTCAAGACGCGATCAGTGCCACCTTTCTTCGCTTTCTTGGTCCTCCATGGAATTTTGTTACCTCTCGCTTCCAAGGTCGTGACATATGTTGCTCGACATCGTTGCTGTCACTGAAACCTGGCCTGCGCTAAGTTGATTGTTAACTACGACTGTTTCGAAAGTCGGAAAGCATAACACCTCAAGGTTGTCTTCATCATAACCGGGATCTCCTTCATTACGATCATTGTGGTTCCAGTCGGATGGGAGCCCAGCATATGGGTCCCAACCATCTTGATGGTTCCCAGCATCCATGCCCCACTGATAGTTTCCTGCAGAGCCTGACTGAGCCGACTTCTTGAACAGGCACTGTTCGAAGACCGATAGACATTCCAGGTCAACATCCGTGTGGATCACGTCTGTGTTTTGTCAGTCTGGTTTAAAAGGGTCGACCATGCGGCTTCGAGAATAAATTCTTCCTGCGCATCTGCGGTGCCATCTCTGGGGTAGTCGGGATCCGCCTCCAATATGCTGCGCTTGTTGCATGCGAGCATAATACTGAGTGCGTGAGCAAATGCCGTGCAGCCTAACCATTGTACCATGATCTCTTGCGCCTCTTCGATGTTATCAAATATCCAATGG